GGAGGCCAGGGGCGATGCCCCCAGGGCAGCTGTGCAAGCTGTAAAGGGCACGTTACACAGGCAGCTGGGAAGGGAAACGGGAGAGAAGCTGGGTTTGTCTTACCACTAATTTTCCAGAGCTGCTGCTCTGCTGGCTGCTGGGCCAGCTCCTTTCCTGGCAGTGCTGCCCGGGGCCGAGCACTGTGCCGTCCCGGCCAGCTGGCGACCGCGGGCTGCTGTGTGCTGACACACGGTGTGGAGCCCTCGGGGGCCGCAATCGGTGCTTTCACCTGTTTGGTAAAGCGCTTCATGCTAATTTAAAGTTGTGAAAGGTGATGAAAATTAGTGGTCTCTTGCGGCTCAGCCCATGCTCTGCAGCCCTGGAGCTGAAGTGGCTCTTGAAGAGGTGGAAAATACAAACACACTGAAAAGCTCCAGTTTCATTTGATACAAACCAGATATCATTAGAGATGATGCCCTCTGCTCGCTGCTGGATGAGATTTCCAACCTGAAATTCTTGCTTGTAACTTTATCCAGACACCAGTGCTGCAACATCTGCCCTTGGGGCAGGGAACGCTCACCCAGCCACAGCTCAGTGCTGAGGGAAATCGTTTACAACCTTTTGGCGACCATACAGAGAAGGAAAGATCCTGTCCAAATGTGCACCGATGCTTTTCTGTGTCCTACCAGATAAAGACCAGGCAGGGACAGGAGCACAGATGAGCAGCCACAGGGTGATTCACTCCCTCATGCTCCCAAGAGGGCACCTGTATCCTGCAAAACAAAACCCGGAGAGCTGTGCCCGCCCGTGCCCCATCCTCCACAGCTGCTCCCCTCTCACCCCAGGGTGCGTAACACGCCTCATCCGATGAGATGCACATGCCGCCACCACCGACTCATGCGTGAATGCCAGCACAAACGCTCCTCCGTGTGCCACGGGGCCACCCAGCTTCTGCAGATCCCTCGAGCAACCGTTCTGCATTAACAATGCCGGGATGGATGGAAGGCTGCAGCCTGCCGAGCCAGAGTTTGAAGGGACTCGGGAACTGGAAATTCTGAGTTGCCACCATCGTTTTGCCTCCTCTGCCCCTGTCCAGGCGGTACCTGATGCCTCTTCTGCCCGCTGCTTTCCTGTTTCTCCCCCCAAATAAATGCAGCAACAAAACACCAGGACAAGGTGTTTATGCAAGGGCAGGGGGAGCATGCAAAACCTCTTGATTTACTCAATGCCTTTTTTCCTGGACCATAGAGAAATTTTTTAGCTTTTCCCGTGCATCTGTTTATTAATCTGAACAACTGAATTAATACCTACTTTTCTGTGAGGTCCTTACATAGGCATTTATGATAAGGATTTATTGGGCTCCTATCAGCATTTGACAAGGCATAACGGAGGTACCCAATACCTCAGGTAAGAGGAACCGAACCCCTCTTCTGCTGGCAGGTACCGCGCAAGCACAAAGGACCATAACTGGTACGGGGGATCTCGTGACTGGTCTGGGCTTTGACCCATCCTCTGGATGAAGCAGGTCGGCAGAGAGCCCCTGCACACCCTGCGTGCTTCAGCTGGCCGGGGAGCTCGGGCTGCTGCAGTGATCTGGCAACCCACAGCACAGTGAGTTAACCCATGGGCACGGCGGGTTAACCCATGCAGCACAGTGAGTTAAGCCACGAAGCACAGGGAGTTAACCCACACAGCACGGCCAGTTAACCCATGCACGTGGCGAGTTAACCCACTCGCACGGTGCGTTAACCCGTGTGGCGCTGGGTGAGAACGCTGCCGGCCGCAGCAGGGGTCAGCCCGGTAACCTCCTTCGGCGGCAGGAAAAGCTGGCGAGCCAGCCGCGAGCAGCCCTTCCCAAGTAACACGCATCTCCTGGTGCAAGAAGAGCAACCCTAAAGAAGGGAGAAGTCCGCTGGGTTCGACAGCTTCTCAACAGATTCATGCTGAGAAAAAGGCAAGTAACGTTTATCACTGAGTCAGGTGAATTAAACATTCACATATATTTGCTGAAAAAAATTATATACATCCGTAGCAAGGCTCTGCCAAGTTTGAAAGATAAGCATCATCTAGTCACTAAATTAAAAAAATAAAAATCTGACTTTTAAATCTTTTTCTTTTTATCCATGTTCAAGAGCACAGACAGTTTATTTTGTTAGCACATTTGGTGAAGAATGTATGTTTGTGTGAGTAGCCATGAAAACCAGTGAAAATTTGGCATTCATTTTGGATATGATGGAAAATAAGAAGCCACTTATGCCTTACAGTCTAAATACTCCACAGAGTATATCAGGTTGCAAAAGGGTCACAAAGTAGCAGTCAAAGAGAAGCCTAAACACCCAGAGACGTAGCATACATGTCTGATAAGGAAGAACAAGGTAAAGAGCATGCTGGCTAATTAAATAAATTTCACTTTAAACCCTGTTCCTTACGTGTGTAACCCTGGAAAAACCATCCCGTAACAAGAAATGGACTCCAAAAAGATTTCTGTATCCATTCACAGTAAGGCTTTGAAGATATATGAAGTTTTATAGCATTTGTATTTTAAGGATTTAGGACAAGTACATGTTCTTCTACTGAATAAAAAGAAAGTTAGTACTTAAAAGGTTCAAAAATATATCAATTGTGATTTTTTTTTTTACATAAATAAATTATATTGATTTTGGATTTAACAGCTGAAAAAACCCTTTCTGCTTCCACTGGAGGCAAAACTGAACAAAATGTTAGTTAAATAGAGATAGCAGCATTTCTAAGAAATCTGTCGATAGTGATACAGTATCTATGCTACAAGGATGTTATTAAATAGAACACATTTAATTATCGGGGGGGGTGGTGTTGCATTATGATTGGTTACATACTTAAAAAAAAAGTCATCCAATCCAGTAAACTGGGAATAAATTCCGTGAAAATATAAACCAAAAGCTTTTTAGACCATGGGTAACAGACTTCTTTGAGATGCTAATTTTAACATGTACATAATTTATAATCCCAAATGTATAAAAGACAATGACAAAAAGCATCATAAATAAATAATGCAAACTGAAATAGTTATGTCAAAACATTTGGACCATCTGATAAATTAGCAAAACTGTAACAGAAAATAAGTAAAAAATACAGTAAATTGTGACAACCAAATGTGAAACTGATTACTAGCACGCTCCCAACTCCCTCGCCAGCCTGCCTTTCATCTCACTGCTGCACCACCGTGGGTTTATTTCAAGTCTCAAACCATGAGCTGCAAATAAGAACAAGCCCAAGTGAAAGAAAAATTAAATGAGGAGTGAGGGGAAGGCGAAGTACGAAGAGTTGCCGAGTTGCCTGTGGAGGAGTCCCAGTACCCAGAGCTGCAGGGGGCTGACAGCATGACAACCTGTCCGTTCACAATGCAGACATCGAAATCACTTGCCAGCGGTGGGGGGGTGGGGGAAGGCGGGGCTCGGAAATATTGTTCAACAGCAACCGGAATGGAAAGAAGAAGCCAAGGTCATCTCTTCACAGTCTAACGCTAGAAAAGAAGAAACTCAAGCTCTGAAAGTCTCAGCAGTCCTGCTTAGAGGGCTCCCTGCACAGGAAAGCTGGCCTACTGCCTTCTCCTGGTTTGCTGAAGGGATGTTGCTTCTGGGGTAAGGAGTGGAAAATATAAAAACTCAAAAAGCCTCAGTGTTCATATAAGAGCATTAAAAACAGTGTGGCCTGCTCACGGCTGGAAAAAAATACCTTTACAGCACTTCTAATGCCATAGGTGAGAACTAACGCCATAGAGGAGAACTGAAGACTAGCAGAATGATGAAGAAACTGGTAGCTACACGTACAGTAATCCCAAAAACGTCATGCAAGATGTGCAAAATCTTTCCAGCTCAAGCTGAAAAGTTCTTGTAACTATCGAGGAAAGGGCAACTAAACTCCACGTAACATAAAACCAAACTTTGGTTTTAAAAAATACAGAAGAATGTCTACGTCGTATTTTCACTCGCTGCGGTTTGTCTCCGAACCTTTGAGGTGGGGGTGATAAAGAAATTATATCACTACCAGTTATGCTTTTTCCTTTCAAAGAAATGAATATATGCATTTTCAATCATTAGTTATATACTTCTGTCTATACTACTATTCTAGTAACCATGATAAAATAGGGAAATACTTTAAATCAAAAATACACATTAGCACTTACTATAGCTGTGCTTTTTACCCCCAAATACAGGCTTTTTCGTTCACCGTTGCTGTAGGCAGAAATACCCTTGACTGCGTGTAGACCAAGAGGTAAAGACTTTTCTTTTGCTCTTGTTTTTTTGCTGCTTTTTCTTCTCAAAGGAGTGAGCAATTTGGGGGGGTGACCGAGTACTGGATTTGCTATCGTCAGCTGGGATGAATGACTGGAAAAACAGAACGAGAATTCGGTGCCTCCCATACTAGCTAGACAACACTGTTTATCTAATAAAGTGGCAAGACCCTCAACTATTAACATGTAGTATGTCACCAGAGTTTTTTCTGACAGGGAATTAGGTAGGTAATATTACTCATGGAAACACAGGTTTATGAAGGCGGAGCGGGGCGGGAGGGGGAGTAACAAAGAGCTTATGGGATAAGAAACTCACAAGCCACAATCTTTTTGTGTTTTTTTTTCAACGAAACAAAAGTTCTAATTGGTATCGCAAGCCGCTCCGCGCTCCTCCTCCGCTGGTCCGTCCTGCTCCTTCTCTGCTGCCGACGACGGCGTTTGCTCTGTACAGTTTTGACTGTTGGCGGCTCCTTTGTCTGGCAGCAAGACAGTTTCTGGCTCGGGGTTGGCCGACTCCCCTTTCGCTTTCTTTCTCTTCCGCTTCTGGCTTTCCAGGTTTGCTGCCTCCAAGTGCCTGGTTTGCTGTATGCTGGGCAGCGCCATGCCGATGCCAGGGGAAAGGAACATTGAGGGATAGATCAGTCCAGGAGACATCCCTGGGATAAGAAACGGGTTAAAAGCTACAGGACTACTGGTAGTTATTGCGGATTCTGTCTGATTAGAAAACGAACTAGGACCAGGCTTATCTTCCGAGAGAGTTTCTTTTTTCGCATCCTGGCTGCTCTGTTTATCCTCAGTAGCTTTCTCTGCGCTGGCTGAACCACTTTTCGTTGTGCTTGTTAACGAAGCCGGAGCAGTCGCAGTACAAGTAGTTGTCATGGGGGGGTTGAGAAGTCCTCCAACGCCAAACATCTGCGGCACGGTGGCCATGCCTGGCAGCATCATGGGCAACATACTCAGGGTGCTTTTCACATCCTCGCCGGCGGGCACTGCTGCAAATCCAGCAGGAAAGCCAACCAGCCCAGTCAGAGGGATCCCTTGCATGTTTCTCATGTTCTGAAGTCCCACTAGATCCATCCCAGCAATCAGTCCGTTCATGAACAATGGTCCCATTCCAGAAGAAGAATCTGCTACAACGCCGGGGCCTTTAATGAGTTCGCTTCGGGGCCTTCTCCCCCTCCGGCGGGGCCCCGCGTCTCGGAGCACAGGCTCGGTTAGGATGCGATTGAATTTGCTTTCTGGTAAGTAGCCCTGAAAACGAAACACACACAACAGAAAACACCCAACAGTTATTACTGCATCAAATCAAAGCTGGCTTTTCTGTGCTCACATCTGCATCCCAGATGGTGTCAGCACAGAAACATTTGCCTACATGATATGGAATTTGAGAGGTACACACAACTTTTCCCCAAGGGATGCTGCCAAATGCAAAACACCCTCGCTCTGCCCTGACATGATGCTGCAGCATCAAAGGGCACAGGGAGGGAAGAAGGAAGCAGATTTTGACCCCACATTTTCACCCGAGCCCTCAGCATTGATGTTCACAACATGAGAAGCACCGGGGCAGCTCTGTGTCAGACGCCAGCTTAGCTCCCCTCCCAGCTTTAATCATGGCTTTAGCAACAGGTGAAAAATCACGTCTTTTAGATGTGAAGGGCCAAATTTTCAATGCTCTGCAGGACCGCAAAGCTGCATGGGATGACACACAGAGAGTGGACATGCTGTCTGAGGAGCTCCTGCTTAGAGCTTCACTGAGGCACCAGGAAGGTTCTTCTGAGCATTCAGATACAGGACCAAAACCCAGCGGCCACCACAGGGCGAGCCCATCCAGTTACACAGAGCAGTGGCAGGGGATCCACAGCGCAGTTGAAAACTCCATTTTTCAGCACCCTCATCACAGACATTTAAACATTTCCCGTTGTGGCTCCCTTGAGTTTCAATATCGCCGCTCCCTGAACTGCTTCCAATAACAGATTTAGGTAGGAAAAGTATTTCCCGTTGACACCTGCAGTGCAGAAACCTGAATCAAACGACCCTGGCAGCCTGCGCAGCACAGCTACTGCCCAAAGAGGGAGAAACTTCTGCTCCGCTCCCACTGGCACATGGGAGAACCTGCACGGGGCTGTGCCCGTGCCTGGGCTCTGCAGGGCAGCCGACCCCACACCCCCGCCTGCCCAAGCGCCCGGCGCAGCCAGACATCCCTCTGCATGCACGTGCCGGGACAGATGCGCCCTCGCCGAAAGCAGAGTGCTGATGGGGCTCAGGGGTGCGAACGCTAACGGGCATGCAGGCCCCCGGCCGGGGGGCGTGAGCGGGTGCCTGGGGCAGTGGCCAGGCACACAGCTATTCGTACCGGCCAAGAGACCGTCCCCTGCAAACGAAGGTAAGGAAGAGCTGCCAGCTCGCACAGGCGCTGGCCACCCCGACACGGAGCTGCTTCCAGGGGAGTGGGACACACCATGCCGAATCACCAGCGTTAATTAAAAGCCAATTTGAAAGCAGTACAAACCTCCATGCCAATTGATTCCCCCTCCAGCCCCCTGCAAGGGTGTCACACAAACCACTGCAGCCACAAAACCAGGGAGCAGGCGAGAGGGACCACAGGGAAAAGTCTGGACAAGGCCAGCTGGCAGGGGGGGAAAGGCGATCTGGCAGTGCCCGTGTGCCAGAGGGGAGACAGCTCCTCCTCCGCAGGCTCTGCCACGCACCGGGGCAGGGGCTGGCGTGACGAACAGGCTGAATGAATGCAGCGAGGCTCAGCTCTGTCCTGCCCCTCTCCCTGCCCGTGTCTGAGCCTTCAGGCCTAGTGACCTGTAGGCCCTTTAGCGGGCCCAGGGCTGCAGAGGCAGAGTTTGCAGGAGCTGATGAAAAGCCTCGGCTGAGGGTATTTTTGAAAATTTGACCCATAAGAAGGTGTTTTGTCCACTCCCTGCTGTCCAGCACCCGAGGTGGATTACTGCTCCTAGGGTGTTTCTCTTGCCCCTGCTATTTCTAAGCATCCCGAGGCTTTCTGGACAGCCACCCTGAGCTGCTGAGCCCCGTTCCCAGGGTGCTGATTCCCTTCTCTCCTTCCCCTGGCCACGCCGCTGAGCTGTGGCACATGCCCAACCTCCCCCTCTGCCACACGAGCGCTCCCGGTGCTGCCAGCCCTGCAGCTATCCCCGCCTGCGTGTGCAGCTGAGGTTCTGCCTCGCAGCTCCCGGATCCTCACTGGAGAAAGGTTGTGGGGATGGGGAGGGGAAAGAAAAGATGACATGATACAGATTTCTCCAAAAGCTCTAACTTACTGAAAGCTTAACAATGTCAGCCCAGTCAGCTGCAACAGCATACTCCAAGTTTGCATCAAGCCACCTTGGCAATTCCTTCAATGCTGGTGCCGTGGCTCCCCCTAACTATAAAACACAGCAGAAGGATGACCTCTATTGCAGAAAGAGTTACGTAAAATAATACAAGAAATACGATTACACCTCCCCTAGCTCCTTGCTTTGGGCTGCAATTTGGCTGGGGCAGAGACTCTTCCCTTGCAACACATCTTTGCAGGACTCCGTATGCGCCTGCTGCCTCCAGACACACAGTTCAGGGAGAAAAGGCAAGTTCTGCCTCGGTGGCCCGTCCCATCGCCCTCCCCATGAACCAGCAACGGGGACAGAGCTTCTATAAAAGACATGCTCAGAACTGGACAAACCCACGAATTCACCCAGGTCTCCAATGGCCATTGCGGGTGTAACAGAGGGAAACACAGATGTGGCTGAAACAGCCTCTTTCTGCCTCACTCTTTAGTTTTGCTTTTAGATGGGATTAATGTCACATCACCTTCTGACCTAGTGCAGTCCTCAGTGTGTTTAAGAACTGAATCTGGGTGGAAAGTATCCCTGAATGTCCCTTCTCATTCAGAGAGGTGAACATCAGTGCGCTGGAGATTAAACTGCAGCCAAGTAAGTCCGTGCTCCTTGCTCAGTAAGCACGTAAAAGACCTTCAAACCCTCCACTTCCTGCAGGCCCAGCACTGGGATGGGTATTGATATGCTCTGCCTGCACCTCGTAAGGAGGAACAAAACAAGGATATTTGCATGGCAATGTTACAATTTGTGGCATATTGCAGTGAATTCAAGGGGAACAACCAAATCTGAAACGGGAAGCACAAGCCAGGGCTGTGCTTATGGTGGCTTTAAAGCCAAAGGCTGAACTCCTTTGCCATTGTGGAGTCTGTGTACTCTGGCAAGGCTGAACATTCAGATTTTCCTTACTTCACACAGAAAGTCACTTATCTCGCATGCCTGTGTCCCCTCAGGCACACACATGTCCCAGGACAGTGTAGATCAGCGATGTGTTCCAGACTTTTGTCCCTTTCATGGGCTTCTCTGGATTAAATCTTCCCCCAGGTGAGCGCGGGGTCTGCTAAGCATTTCAAGACACCAAGGGCAGAGCACAGAACAGGCCTTCGCTTACCCGCCGTCCGGTACCCTTATGTACCACGGGCACCCGCTCCTCTCCCGTGAGTGAGTTTAAGTCCAATTTGCTGGGGTCCTTGCAGCGTTGCCTCCTCTGCTTGGGCTTGTCTGAAAAATTCTGGAGTGCAAACAAGACAACGTTAATAAGGTCAGACAGATTAATGAGCCTGGATGGCTACAAGCCCTGCAGGAGCGCAGCACAGATGAGCCCCCGAGGGACAGAAGGTCCCTGCAGATCTGGATGGGAGCAGTGCAAGAGGCACAAGCCGGTCTCCGCCCCAGGGCCAGCTCTCAAATGAGCACAGTTGGGTTTTGTAGGTGTAAAGGGGTTTTCAGTGTACCCCACTTGGACTGCTCCAGCTCTTTCTAATTCCCCTCCAATCCCAAAACTTCACCTACTGCCAATTCATATACGTGCATCTGTGGACGGGGCGCTAACTGCAACTAGGAAAGAAAGAGAGAACAGGTCTGTGTGTGCCAGCTCGTGTCAGTCTGATACAGCTACCTGCTTCTTGCCAGCTCATCTGTGCTCTGCTTCGCTCCTGTTTCAGCTGTTCCCCCCACAGAGCTGTTGCACCATGTTTCTTTGGGCTCAGCGCCCCTCAGGACCACAGCCTACAGAGTTACAGCCGAGTCGCTGCACACCCTCTGCAGGCACCGAGTCCCGGCGTCAATGTGCCTGCAGGGACATAGCGTTATAAAGAACTACTGCAGGCTCTGATTCCTGAGAGCCAAAGAAAAGACCCTGAGCTTGGTCTGTCCTTCAACAAGCTGAGCTGCTGCAGTACCCCAAAGCAGCTTTCAATTCATCCTACCTGGAGAAGGGACACCTGCCCTGACAGGGGAGACCCTTCAAGGCTGGCATAAGGCACTGGGGGCTTGCTGGGAGCAAGAGGCTCACCAGCAGCACGGCCAGACTGGGCAAGCTCCAGTAAGGCCTCACAGAAGGCAAGGGTAATGGAAAGGAGTAGGAAGGCACCTCCATGCCTGCTCCACCATCTGATTGCTCCTTGCAGAGCTCCCAGGAGTCTGGCCTTAGGCTCAGAGCCACATGTATCTCTGGACTCTGAAAAGCAAGGGCCATCCTGCCCCAGTAAACGCTGAGCGCCTCATGTCTCATCTCTAACGAGCTCCAAAACAGTAACAGCTCGCCTGTACTCCAAGCTCCAGGGAATCCCTGCTTCAGGCACGCAATCCTCCAGGACCAAGGAGCACAGCCTTCTAGGTATTACCACCACATTTCTTCCTACTCTGTTTTACAGCCTGTGCGCTGCCTACCACATGGTCTAGCAAGCTAAATAAGCTGAAACCTGGAGCAAACCAACCTGTGAAACCAAGAGGTGGATGCTTACGAGATGGCAAGAAGAATCAGACAAACTTTGCACCCCACTCTCTGCCACTCTGCACTGATGGTGCCTGCGGCCACGCAACTGCAGCCGTTGCAGCCCGCAACACAGCTGCTTCGGCCCAGTTTTTAAAGTGAGGGGGTTTCCTCTGGTCTGGGAACCTTATTTAATACAACGGCACTGCCTAAAATGACCCCAGGTGAAAGGGAGCAACACAAACAGACCTTCAGCATCACAAATCCCTTTTCCCATTTCTCTCCCGACCCCTGGTGCTTCTGGAAGACACTGGACTAATTGTGCATTGGGCAGACGGATGCACTGGAGCTGGAGAACAGACCCTGGGGCAGAAGGACGCAGCTTAGCAAGTGCCTTTCACTGCTGTAGAGCGAACTGTGCCCACCTCCCAAACCTGTAACGAACCTCCCAAACAGCCCTGATGAACACCACAAGCCACGGTACAGGGAAAACGGACGCATTTTAAGACACTTTGTGGATGCTGAACTCTCTGAACTCAAGAGCAACCACAGGACACCCAACACAAAAGGCAACACACAAGGCAGACACAGACACACACGTGTGCCACCAAAGGCCACCCTTACTGTGCCAAAGCCAGGAACGTCGAGCGTGTAGTCAGACTGCTGACGGAGCCAGTCGAGGAGACTCTTATTTGGGACAGCCTTCTCTGCTTGGCTGCCTCCAGCTGGGACTGGCTGTGGAGTTGAGGTAGCACCAACCGGCCCATCGGGGAGGGGACTGTTCTGGGAGGCCTGTGGCTGGTCTTCCTGAACATCCTGATGTGGAGGGAGGAGCAGGGAGAGCCCATCAGCAGCATGTGGTGATGCACACCCAGTTAAGCAGAGCTCCCAAAGCAGGTCATCTGCTCCCCTCACACAGATTAAACCACATATTCCCAGTGCCTGTTCCTTAAATCACTACCCAGCATTGCATTACACTTCCAGTCAGTCCCCAGCACTGGTGGCATGGAGGGCAGAGATTGCTGGGAGCTGCTTCTGAACTCACCTGAAAACACCCTCATCACCAAGAGAACCAACTTCCCCCACATCACTCCTACAAGTGGTCTAGAGGGACTGGTCTTGCTCCCAGAGCCCCATTCTTCTTTGAGTGGATCCCAGGGTAAAAGGAGAAAGGGTGCAGCAGGCTCTTGGCCACAGCTCCAATGCAGTCAAGGACCATTCCTCATGTTCTCTAACCCTAGACACTCCCCAGGGTGGGACAGCTGCTTTTGATAATGCTTAGCAGGACTCAAACACTCCAGGCGGAATGCTGCAAGCCAGAGGGAAAATTTCCCTTCCTCCCTGGAGTAGTATCTGCTCCAGCACAAGCCAAGCTGTCCTGGAGGAGGTCCCGTATTGTCATGGGCAGCAGAGCTTGTAGGGGAGAGATGGACCACGAAGACAAATCATGCTGACTTCATCGGGGCCAAGTGAAACGGGGGAGCATCAACCCACCTGCAGCCTGGTTGGAAAAGGCCTCTCCTTCAAGAAGATGAGGTCCATCCCTTCTACATTTTTTCTCCTTCCCCGTCTCCTCCTCATGGCAGCGTCGTCTCTTCGGAGGCTGCCGTTTACAATTTGTCCTGTGACAGGATGGATTAATCCTGCCTGGAGGATGCCGGACAAGTCCATGCCCAGGGAGCCCTGGAGCGTGTTCACAGTCCCCAGTTTGGGCATGTTTGTGTTCAGGGGGAAAGGAGAGGAGCTCCCTGGGGACCCATCAGAGGCTCTGGACAAGTCCACCGCTGCGTCACGCCAGCCGTTCAGCACAATGGGTGGATGTACATGGGCTGCTGCTAGCTGCTCCAAGCTCCTCTGTTTGGCATCTCTCTCCATCTCGAATTCATAGGGCCTCCTGTGCTTCCGCTCGTCCTTTGCAAAGACAGGGGTCAGGAAACCTTCCTGTGTGTATCAAAGCCACGGAGAGGGTTACAGCTGCTCGTGCACTGCCCAGGGACCACACTCTTCAGACCAACACTGAGCTAACGGTCAGGCTCTTCTGCCTCTCTGCAGGAGCCCTGAAGGATGCCCTTTCCCATGGCACATCCCACCTCTCCTTGTGGGGGGCTGGTGCAGAGGTACCCTCGCACACACGTTGATCTCCCCAGGTGCTATAATCCAGGGTGCTCCACCAGCTGCTGGGCAGCTGGGCTGGGTCCCAGGCCAGCAGCTTCTGTCTCTGCGCTGTGCCCAACAGCGAGAGGAGATGAGAGTGAGCTAGTGACTGATGGGGCAGTGCCCTCTCCTGCACCCTTTCCTTTGGGACACCAGGGCAGTGTCCCCTTTTCCCCCTGACCACGACAGGTGCTCCAGAGCTGACTCTGGAACCATCTCTACAGTCGCAGAGGCTGCAGAGCTGCTGCAGAACAGCCGCCTTCCCAGGAGAGGAGCAGGGCTGGCGAGGGGCTGGGATCACGGGGAGCTCACCGGGAGCCCTCAGTGCAGGGGACCAAGTGGCTTAAGTGATGTGTTATACACCACAAGCGGCACCAAGAGGCAGTGAAAACCCAGGCCCCACTTGGGAAACTCCTGAGCCCTTCTGGGCTATGCTTCACCCCAGAGTCCCAAGCCTGCCCCTGCCCAAGGGCCCCCCTCACCTTTTGTACCTGCGAGATTAACACCCTGTTATTGAAGCCGGGATCAGGGGCTTCCGACTCAGCAAAGCTGTTCCTGCTGCCGGCATTGCTAGCTACTGCTGGAGTCAGCAGGCTTTGTGTCTCAAACTGCTGGCTGGAGGAAGGCCACTTGCCCTTCAGGATGGCATGGCAGATGTTGTCAATGCGGTTGATGATCACACGGTCCTGCAAAGAGAATTGGACGGTGGCAGGCTGGGACTGACTCGTGGATGTCATCTCAGGATTAAAGACAAACTCAGCCCTGGTGACCTCAGCTGGGCAGGGAACTGCTTTGGGCTAAGTGTGTCCATGGCATGGGTGCTTGGGAAGAACACCCCAGTTAGAGCATCTGTGGGGAGCTGTGTGTGGAGGACCAGGAGGCAGAGCTGGGGCCGTGTAAGCCACTGCTGGTCAGGACTATGCAGCAACCTTGCAATACAAACAGTGTTAATTTTAAGCTCACCTTAGGCCACTCAGAGAAGGAGTAAAGTGTCTTCTCCTGCAGCAGCTGGGCTATGGTCGGTGCCCGGGCATCCTGAAGGTCATCAATCTCCCCGGGCAGGACAGAGGCAGAACTCTTGCTCTCTTCCTCCAAGTACTTCTCTGGACCATCTGAGAAAGCGACAGGGAACAGAACCCATCACTGCCCTGCCTCTCTCACCCTCTCGAGGCGGGAGCGACTCCTCACGCCTTCCCAGCCCAGTGCCCAGCTGGCTCCACGAGGGCCCATTCCCCAACCAGCCCCCAAGAAATGCAGCAGCCCTGGGTCATGGCAGGCAGCTCATGCTGCTCAGGAAGGGCCAGCACTCCCCTGGGCTAAGTCGGGGGGGGCTTGCATTGCAGTGGCCCCCATCCCTGACCACCCCCATACACCAGGCGGGTGAGGAGGAGGGCACACGCCTTTCCAGAAGGAGCTGCTCACCAGGCAGTGCCCTGTGCTAGGAAGGGAAGGATGTCCTGCATTCCATGGGATGCTCATGGCAGAGGGGCTGCTGGGGGTCAGGGTGGGAGGTTCTGGCCACCCCCACTGCAAACGCAGCCACCAACCCTTTGTCCCCCAGTCACATCAGCTAGAGGGACCCCAGCTCCTGCAGAGGGGAGGCTGCTCCAGGGGCTCGGCAGCCCCAAGGCTTTGTCTCTGCAGGGAGGACAACAGGTCCCTCCCACCGCAGCCGCAGGTGACTGTCAACCAGAGGGAGCTCTCAGGACCGTACCTTGATTCTGGCTGCTGCTGGCTTTCTCCCCATCTCTGTTCTCACATTCTTCTTGCTTCACCCCCTGGGGCTCGGGGTGCAGGGCCTCCCTGCAGCCTGCCTGCCCCTCAGCCCCTCGGCCCCAGGCATCCCCCCCAGCATGGGGGGTCTCTGTCCCCGGGGCCCCCAGCAGAGGTGTAGGCAGGCTGAAAGCCTGGCTCTGAACCTGGCCCGGTGAGTGCTGCAGAGTGCTCTCCTCATCCAGGCCACGGTCCTCCCTGCCCTCCGGCCCAGGCACCCCCAGCCCTTCGGGTGTCCCCAGCCCCAGGGACTCCCTCTCGCCATTCACATCTTCTGGGCAAGTGTCCTCGGGTGTGGGGAGGCCAGAGCTCTGCTCCTCGCCCCTCAGTTCATTAGCTTCGGGGTCACAACCGGCCCTGGTCCTGGGACCACTCAAGCCTTCCACATCTGCTGCTGCCTCAGAGTTATCGTCGTCCTCTTCTTCCTCCTCATCTTCCTCGCTGTGGCTCTGACTTGGCCCTGACTTTGCCTCCATTCCTTTCTCCTGCAGCAGACTGATGAATCTCTGCTCAGGAGGAACCTTTATTTCATAGTTATGAAGACTGGGACTGTAGAGCCCCATGCTTATGACCCCTTCCATGGCGCCGTGCTCAGGCAGCACTGGTGCAGGGCTGGTGGGGTCTCCCTTTTGCTGCAAGCCTTCGCAGAGCTCTGCTGGTACGCTCTGCAGAGGGTCGCTTTCGGGGGTAGAAGGTGAAGGCTCAGCTTCCTCATTCTGACTGTCCATTCGGTCACAGTCCACCTGCAGACCCTCCAGGAAGGGTGTCTCTCTCATGGCATCTGCATCGCAGCTGGACGGATCCTCGTCTCCCTCTACCTTGCCCTCAGAGAGTTTAGCAACACTGCTGCCAACGTCTGTACAACTCGGGCTGTCTCGGGCAAGGGAGCTTTGCTCACTGTTACAGGCCTTCTCGTCGTACATCATGCACACCAATGAGTCTGGCAGAGAGCTCTCATCATAGTTACTGGAAATGATGTCCCGGACTTTAGACATGAATGTTTCACAGTTTGCATCTGGTGGACTCCCCCCAGCCTGGGACATAGCGCTGTCTACAGTTTCTTGCTTGATCCGACTCTCAGCTTCATTCTCCACGGATTCACAAGTCCGGTCCACCTGGCTGTACAGAGGGGAACTGTAGAGTTTGGAGTTAGTCTGGTAAAGGCAGCACAAGGTTTCTGGGCCTGGCAGCCCCATTCTTTTATGCTGGGCATAGTTCCTGTATGCATCTAAAAAAGACAGCTGGGGGTCATTCATGATGTAGTAGTCAGTGCGATTCAGGCCATGCTTGGCAGTGCCGATCAGCAGGTCCCGATCGTGTTTGCCACACTCCCACCACACCGGCAGGTAGAGGCTCGGCCGGCACAGCTTGAGCCGCTCGTGGAGCTGCGGACACCTGAGCACCTGCTCGCGCACCTTTCGCAGAAGCTCGATACGGTAGAGGGTTCTGGCAGCACGTTCCTCCGTGATGGGCTCCACGTAGATGTCAGGGTCTGGGGGACCTACAGCAGGGACAGAAAAACCAAGGCCCCATTATACAGATTGATGAGAGCTACTCAGAGCCAGTGATGAGCAAGGGGAGTCTCGCTCAGACTGCAGGTGAGGAGGGGGGGAGTACTTGTAGCCACCGCTGAGGCTTCTTTTCCCAGTCTCACCACCTTCCATTCATTTGCCACCAAATGGACACATTCCCTCGACTTTAGCTGGACAAAGAGCGGCACTCGGCTGCAGGAGATTTCAGTCTTGCCTGAGCTCTGCTCCATCAGCACCAGCGGTGCTGGAGCTGCCTGGAGCTGCTGGCAGAGCGGCTCCCTGGGGTCTGAGCCTCTGGTAGCCCTTCAGCAGGTTCTCAGGGAAGAGTCCCTCAGCTCTTTTGATGAGGAACACCTACCTAAGGCATTTGATCTACTCCAGGTGGTCCTGCTCTGGCAGGGGGCTTGGACTAGATGATCTTTCGAGGTCCCTTCCAACCCCTGACGTTCTGTGATTAACACAGACACCCAAGGAACTGCACCTGAGACCAGACATCCTGCCAGGTCTGAGATGAAATTCTTTCTGCTGCTGTTACAAGCAAATCACTTTGTGCTTAAATAGCCCCCAAGCAGCTTTTCACCTGCCATGTCCTGCATGGTGCCAATGCACTGGGGCTCTGCAGGGCACTCTAAGAAAATGGAGGTCTTGCCTGTTGGCCAGGCTTCCCAAGCCTCCTGCGGTGGGTTCAGACTCCCTTTACCTGGTAGCAGAGCTCTCTAGTCAGCTACGCCACCGCACAGGCACGGTGCGGACTCCGCCCAGCGCCAGCAGGGAGATGGTCAGCAAGAAAGCAGCAATATAGACTGCCCAAACAACCCCCAGCTCCAGTGCGGAGGAGATGTGATCTGCTGCTTCTCTGCTTCTCCTCCCTCACATCTAGAGGTTGCTGTCTTGGATAGAATTGGTTGTGATTTCATGGGAGAGCTCTGTGAGACCTGTGAGAGCAGGGGCTGGAGCTCACAGGGCTGCCCTACCTTCCCATTGTGCTGGGGAGGTGGTACATGCTGGTGACAAGGCAGCCAGAAACGCACGTGGCTTCTGCAAGCCCACAGCCTGTCTGGTGTCTGGCTGCCTCCAACTGTCACTGAAACTCCTCCCTTGCTCACCTGCTCCACAAGAGCAGTGGGACCATTTCTGACCTACAGCTACACGAACCTACCTTTACCTCTTCATAGGCCATGCAATTCCACTCACCATCATCTTTCCACAGTGGGACACCACAGACATTCTTGCACATGGCCACAAAGCTGTGGAAATACTTCTCCAAGCTCTCATCTGTCTTCTTCTCCAGTCGAGAGATGGCTCGGAACTGGGCCCAGTCAAAGATCTTTTTCTCCTGGTCATAGATAACCCCAAAGGAGGAGACAGTGCGGTAGAAATCTGCCTGCTCCCTCCTGGTCCACCTGTGGGGCAAGGAGGAGACATGAACACCACTGAGACACGTTCTGGTCCCAACATGGGCAAGGCCACAGGTGGAGAGGCTCAGAGAGGACTACCCAGTTACTGCCCACCAGTTTTGGGGGAGCTGCCAGGAGGAGCACACCGGGGAGATCACTGCAACCTGAGATCCTCTGCCTCACCGCACATAGTGAGAAGGAGCAAAGGCCACGGGCCCTCTGGCGCTCAGCTCGCTGTTGAAACTACACTTCCAGCTGTTTGAAAAAACACCAAGTGCAGCTCCTGCCTGTGCTGCTGATCGGGCACAGGCTCCAGCAGCTTCTGTGGAGCCACAAACCTATCTCACCCACTCACTCCCTGCCACATCGAGTTGTCTCATCACCTCCATGGAGAGCCCAACTCTGTACCAGGAATTAGAAACAAAGGTCCTGCAGAGACAGCTCTCATCCAGCCTCTTCCAGAGGGAAACTGGGACCAGGGTTCATTGCTGTGAGGATCCTAGTAACAAACACCATCCACCCTGCTGACTCCTGTGGGCTCCTGGGTGCCAGGGGTGGGTGTCACCCCCTCCCCACTGATGGAAAGCAGCCGTGGTGACAGGGGGGGTTCAGTTACAGCACTGTTAGAGCACAACTTTCACTCTGGCTTGGACTCTCTGAGTTTTCACCTTGTAAGGATCACTCAAAGGAATGATCCAGGACAGAGGTGGCAAAGAGCGTCCTGGGCAAATACACCCTGGGGCAAGCAAGAGCACAGAGAAACAGGCCACAGAGAACAGAGCAGGGTGCAAACTGCAGGGCAAGTGCAGGAGCAGGTCACAACAGAGAAAGCGGAGTGCTGTGGGCTGAAGAGTTTAAAGTCAAATCTCAGCTCCTCTGAACTGTGGCTCTGAGCCAGCACCAGCAAGCAGCTGGGACACGCCAAGGGAGAGCAGACAGGGTGACAGCACCCATAGCACTCCCCAGCTGACCAAAATACACCTAGACCAGCATTTCCACCCCTGCTCCCAGGGACCGTGAGCCCTCTGCAGTGATATTTCATTCCAAAAAAGAGAATAACAAAAAGAAAGCTAATAAAAACCCCCAATGATCAAAATCAAGTTGCCCAATGGCGAGTTTGTTGAAAGGCCTTGAACTAAAGGCTGGTGGCAAACTGCCTAGGACACTCCTCTAAGGAGACCCAAAAAAAAAAAGCCCATGGAATGAAGGAGCAGGAAATACCAGGCTGTGGCATCCACACCACAACCACTGATGTCCCCACTCTGAAGAGGGGATGGTGCAACTGGAAGAGGTCCAGAGGAAGCAGAGAGGGAAGATCAGTGGGCTGGAGCAGCTGCCATACAAGGAGGCTGTGAACAGAGATCAGAGGGCAGCAGATACCAAGCGGTTACATGTGTTCCTGCAACGGGGACAGGTTCACAGGAGTCAAAGCCATCGAGAACTGGTGACCACAGAGAGCCCCTGCAGTTCAGGAAGTCCCAGGGCTGCGCACTGGGAACTGGCAGTGATGGAGGCAGCATCACCCTGCCACATACCCTCCCTGGTTTCTGCAGAGAGCCACTCAGGGTGCCAGGATGGTCCCACCATCCTTCCACTTACTGGGACGCAAACGAAATGGGAGCACACCACAACCAGGACATGCCACCACTGGGCTCCTGAGGTCACGAGCAGACTGCTAATGTGAGAGCCACAAGGGTCAGAAAGGCTACGCACAGGGGCTGTGACAGCACTCAGCCGTCACCCCTCACCCATGGTGTGTCCCAAATGCACAATACTGCTCAGCAGCACCCATTCTGCTGGGGCTGGGGGCAATCCCTGGCCCAGGAGATCCTAGATTTGACCCTGAAGAGCTGTCCCCTGCCTTCCTTTCACCGTGTCACCAGCTGCTCCCTGGCTGGGCTGGCTGCCGGAGCCACAAGGCTCCCTTGTGGCTGGGAGCAGCATTCCCTGCCCAGCGAGGACCCACGCACCTCTGTCACAAGGGCAGCTGGCTGCACGGACAGCCGTGGTGACATTTACCTGGGTAAACCCAGGACTGGCCTAAATCAGCTTTGGAAAGGACCCTCTGCTGCATCACCTTTTCTGCATTTCTTTGTTCACCGAGTCCATCTCGGAGGCTCTCCTGAACATCTCATCCTGCAGCCAGTATCCATGGTTACCGGGCACAAGCATCTCGGCACGAGGAGGCAGCTCTTTGCGGTTGCAGCGCTGGTAGACGGTGACGAGCCTCCGCAGTCTGGCTGTGAGAGCAGATGAGACAGGCCAGCAGGATCTGTCTGAGTCGGAGCCATCCTGGGCTTCAAACATCAGCAAGGACATTAGTATTTAACACACACTCAAAGCCACAGGTTCCCGCGTCCCTCCAGCTGGCTCTGAGAGCTCCCTCCTGCCCTCCCCCTCCCACGGGGGACATCAGGGATCACGGTCATGAGTGGGGGGCTGTGGTGACCATTCCTGGGCCTCTGTACACCAAAAGCTGCTGGCTCACAACCTCACCATGTCTGAGCTTCCTTCAGAGAGAGCCCAGAGGCAGAGATCAGGGTAGGAATGATGTCTCCAGGACAGCCCATGCATGGGAGAGGACTGCAGCTCCCAGCTCCACAGTGGGGCCAGCCAGCCCATGGCATCTGCCAACACTGTGCACTGCAGAGACCCTGCACGCTCATCTCATGCAGGCAACTGCACGGGCAAGGGCAGGCTAATGGCTTCTGGTCACCCCCAGCCGGCTTTGGCTGGAAACACTCTTTTTCAGGACCCTGGC